GAGAGCTGAATAGTGAATAAAAATGACAGAAGAATTGATGCCTTTGAGTAATGGTAATAGAGAAGAGTACTGAAAATCTCATGGACTGTCAAAAGAACAGTTATGCCCTAGAAAAATGCAGCCAGAATGTTTCTTGGAAGCAAGGATGGCAAAGCTTTACTTCATATACTTTGGGCATGTTGCTAAGAGAGACTGTTCTTGGAAAGGGACATCATGCTTGGAAAGGTGGAGGGTCAGCAAAGGAGAGGAAGACCCTCAGAGAGACTGATTGGCACAGTGACTGCAGCATCGGGCTCAAGTGTCGCAGAGATGATGAGGACGGCACAGGATAGGACAGGGTTCAGATCTGTTGTTCATAGGGTTGCTGTGAGTTGTAGTCAACCTGATGGCACCAAACACCACCACCAAAGTAGTGAAAAGAAAGAAGTCGTTAATGCAGCGGAAATCAATATTAGGGAAAGTCGTTCGCAGGGAGTTGTGCTAAGTCCGTCAGTTGCTGCACAAGAGAACGATGGGCAGTCTCTTCCCACTCTATGTACAGCCTTAAAGAACGAGTTAGTAGGGGGTCAGCTCTGAGTTGATTCTGATTTGATGGCAAAGAGTTGAGTTTGCTCTTATTTGATGAGTAATTTGTGTGTTTACTTAAGATATGCATTTTTTAAAGATATGTATGGTTTTTTGTTTTAATTATAAAGATGTGATTAGCTCAAAAATGCAGTAAGTCCAACCTATGTGAATTCAATCACCATCTTCCATGTGTGAATGTTTACTCCATAGCCGGGGCGCTAGATGATGGGGCCGTATGGTAATCAAGATAGACAGAGTTTATGTTCTCAAAGCACTTGTGTCCATTCCAGCTCAGGGTCGGTGGCTGTCAATTATGTGAGGATGAGGCAGCCACCCAGCATTCAGGACAGATGGCACTCACTTCTGGCAGGGTGCATGTTAGAGCTTCAGCAGGGGAATTTAGGTTGGACTTAGGTTGGGCAGACATGGGAGGCTCCCAGAAGGTGTGCATGGCCATATTGGCATCTGAAGGAGGACTAGATGTAGATAAGGAAACAAAGAGGAGATGGAAAAGGAGGAGGAGAGAAGAAAGTGAGAAGGAGAGGAGTCTTAGGAAGAAAGTTGAGCGTGTTGGACACATTACACATTCAATGAAATGCAAGTGGGATTCAGGGCGTGATGTGCTGGGAGCTGAGTCTGGGTCGACAGCTGTGCTGGGTGATGGGGACCTTACTTCAGGGGGACTGTGAAGTTGGGGAAAGAAGGCACGGTGCAGGTGTGAATTCTGGCCCTCCCTGAGAACACATTGAGTCAGGGATGGGCTTGTTTCCTCTAGAGTGGGAGGACGGTTGGGCCAGATCCTCTGGTGGATAGCAGAGGACTTGAAAAGCCATTGTGGAGAATGAGGTGAGTGGAAAAGCTTCTTCTGGACCTGTTTTAAATCTGCATCACCAGGCAGCTCTGGTGGCCTAGTGGCAAGAAGTTGCACTGCATTCCTGAAAGTGTGCAGTTCAAATCCACAAGATGCTTTGCTGGAGAAGAAGGGGAAATCTCCTGTGGCAGTTGGATCGGACTTGACAGTACATAACAATTAGAAAAAAACCTCAACTTTTAAAAAAGTTATAGAAGGCCTCTGTGGGCATGGCCAAGCACTAACCTTCCATAATTATAGTTCTATATGTCACTTGCCTTAGGAAGCCCTAGTGACCTACTTGCTATCCTGAAGGCACACGGTTTGAATCCACCAGCTGCTTCATGGGAGAAGGATGGGCAGTCATCTCCTCTGTGCTTAACTGCATCTGAAAACCCACTGGAGGGTCAGCAGTGGGTCAGTTCTGACTCAACAGCACACAACAACAACAACAACATGTCACTTGCCTTAACTGAAAGAGTTTGAAAATGCTAATGAAAATGGAAAATTGTCAAAACAAACTGCTGGAACAAATGATGGTGTGCCAGCCTCTGTCTTCATTGCAGTGAAAACGTGGCAGTTTTTGTATTGATTTCACCCCCACCACCAGTTGCTTGCTGGCAGGTTGATTCCCATTCATGGCCACCCCAAGTGTGTCAGAGGAGAACTGTGCTGAACAGGGGTTTCCGTGGATGGCCCTTGCAGAAGCAGATCTTTGCTGAAAAGACCTGGCTTTTTTTCTGAGGAATCTCTCTGGGTGAACTCCAGCCACCAACTGTTCGCACTGCCTCATGTCACATATTTTTTTATTTACTCTTACTTTTAAACTGAAAGGAAGCAAAGCACTTGATTACTTCCCTGCTCCAGGAAATCAAGGAGTTGAGTTGATGGCAGTAGCACTGGTGGGGCAGCACGGATAAGTCACATTGTCTCAGACAGTAGAGTCAGAGGACAGTTAACACCAGGCTGGGCAGGAGGCAGGAGCCAGTTCAGCCCGTGGGGAGAACTGTGGGAATCAAGAGAGAAAAAGTCATATGAGCTCTGTCAAGCCAAGATGAAAATCAGAGGCAGAAGGAGCTGTGTAACTGGTCTAAGACCTTGAGATGCTGGATACACCAGCAAGGTGCCACCAACAGTGAGATGCTGAGGACTAGGATGACGTGAGAGTGGGCCCTGCCACAGCTGTCTGCAGCAGGCAGTGATAGAAGAGACTGCAGGAGTGTTACAGCATGTTGTTATTGTTGGTAGGTGCTGCTGAGTTGAATACGACTCATAGTGTATTAACAACGTAACTCACAGTGTATGAACAACAGACCTGAAACCTGCTCTATCGTGTGCCATCCTCATCACTCCAACACTCTTGAGCCCATTGCTGCACTAACTGTATCAATCCATCTCATTGGAGGTCTTCCTCTCTTTTGCTAACCCCCCATCTTTCTAAGCATGTTGTCCCTTTTCTAGGAATAGTCTATCCTTGTAACATGCCCAAAATAATGAGATGATGCTTCACAACTTTTGCCTCCAAGGAGGACACTTGTTGCACTTTTTCAAAGACATATCTCTTTGTTCTTTTGACAGTCTATGGGATATTCAGTTCTTTCCTTCAGCACCACAACTCAAAGGCTTCACTTCTTCTGTCATCCCTCTTCATTGTCCAGCTTTCAGGTGCATAGCTGTTGTTATGTGCCTTTGAGTCACTTGTGACTGACTCATAGCGACCCTGTCTATGTACAAGAGCCCCAAACCCTGCTCTGTCCTGTGCCATCCTTACTGTCTCCGACACACGTACTCCCACTACCCCAATCACTGGATTGATTCATCTCATCAATGGTCTTCCTGTCCTGTGCTGTCCCTCTACTCTCCCATATATGATGTCCCTCTCCGAGGGCTGGTCCCTCCTTGAAACATGTCCAAAGTATGTCAGAAGCTTCAGAATTCTTGACTCCAAGGAGTAGCCTGGCTTCACCCTCTCCAGGATAAACCCGTTTATTCTCTTAGCAGTCCATGGTATATTCAATAGTCTTCTCTAGCACCACAGCTAAATGACGTCAGTTCTCTTTCTATCATTCCTAGTCACTGTCCAGTCCTCAGATGCATAATACACAATTGTGAAGACTGTAGCCCAGATCAGGCACACCTTAATCTCCAGCCTGATGCTTTTGTTCTTCAGTACTCTGGAGAGGTCCCTGACAGCTAACTTTCCCAATGCAATTTGTCTCTTGATGTCCTGGCTGCTGGTGCCAAGAGTGTTGACTGTGTAGCCAACCCTGGCCTGAATCAGGTACACCTTAGTGAGTCATTTGAAGGCATTGGCAAAAAATAAGGCCCCAAGAATCAACGGCATTATCAGTTGACTTGCTTCAGTTAACAGATATAGCCTTGAATGGGCTCACTAGTCTATGCCAGGAAATTTGGAGGACAGCTGTATGGCTAATGGATCAAAAGAGGTCCATATTTGTTCCCATTCCCAAGAAAGACGATCCAACAGACTGTGGAAATTATTGAACAATATCATTAATATCATACACAAGCAAAATACTACTAAAGATCATTTAAAAAATGGCTAGAACAGTACATAGATAGGGAACTGTCAGAAGTTCAAGCAGGATTTAGAAGAGGTAGTGGCACCAGGGATATCATTGCTGATGTCAGATCCATAATTAACACCCTTGGTACCAATAGTCAGGAAATAAGGAGATGCATTGCATTGGGAAAATCTGCAGTTGGGGACCTCTCCAAATTATTGAGGAGTAATGATGTCAGTTTGAAGACTAAGGTGCATCTGATTCAGGCTATAGTCTTTCCAATCACTTGCTATGCATCTGAGAACTGGACAATGAATAAGGATGACAGAAAAAGAATTGAGCTTTTGAGCTGTGGTGTTGGAGAAGAGCACTGAATATCCCATGGATAGCCAAGAGTACAAACAGTTATGTCTTAGAGAGGGGGCAGCTGGAATGCTATTTGGAGGGAAAGATGATGAGGCTTTGCCTCATACCGTGGGCATATTGCTAGGAGGGGCTATTCCTTGGAGAGGGGCATGATGGGTGGAAGATCGGCAAAGGAGAGGAAGCCCCTCAACCAGGTGGATTGACATGGTAACTGCTGCAGTGAGTGCTACTGTGTCAGGAAGTGTGAGATAGAACAGGGCTCAGATCTGTTGTTCATAAGGTCACTATGAGTCATACTTAACGGCACCTAACAACAACAAACTCCTTTTAGATGAAGGGCTTTCCTAGTGGGGAATGGATAAATGATCTCACTTTCTTACCATCTCTAGGTGTGTCTTTGTCTGCAATAGTTTGAGATGGCTGGGGACCTTTGCTGTGGCAGCAAGGTCGCATCCTAGGCCTGGCGGGCTCTGCAAGGCCACTGAGCCAGGTCTCTGAGCCCATTCCTTGTAGTGCTGACTCACAGCATAGCAGGGCTTGGGGAGGCGAAACCATGCTGTTAAGATTCCGTGACATACACTGATGCCCTAAAACTCAGGTCACTCTGGGCTCCTTTTTGGAGAACATAGACATACTGTAGCAGCTCAGCATTCGACACGGGTTCATCTCCTGTGGCTTTCTCCTCTGACCAGGTATGTCCCCGTTAACTGCAGCAACGCAGGAGACGGAGAGCAGCCAGAAGCTGACTCACTTGCTGAATGCGGTGACCGATGCGCTGGTCTGGGTGATCGCCAAGAGCGGCATCTCCACCCAGCAACAGTCTGCTCGCCTGGCCAATCTCCTGTTGCTGCTTTCTCACGTCAGGCATGCCAGGTACAGATCCCGAGAAGGGGGCATGCTCAGAGGAAGGGGAGAGCTTTGGGGAGTGTTTTAAAAGTTGAGGTCAAGAAGGTGTAGCTGTGTTCTTTAAAGGCAGATTTTTTTTTCTAGTTTGTGGACTTCATCTACACTTAGTAAGCACTGGAGCCGACAGATTGTTTATGGGGTCCTAGCAGAGACAACTTACCCTGACACACATGGGCCCCCTTGCCCCACCAGGGCTGAGGCTCTCAGGGTCGCGTATGAAGACGTACGTGCTCCTAGATTTCTGAGTGATGGAAACGCCTCCACCTGCCTCACTGTTCCCTTTTATATCTTACATATTTTTTAAAAGTATTTATCTTATTGTGGTATTTATGTTAACAAAGCATTTTCCATTTTAAAAATCTTCATATTCTGTGACAATTATGTTCATCCTGATGTCCAACAATCACCTTTAACCCTTCCCTTCCCAAAATTTTTCATCACCCTTAATGTGGTTACAGACTGACCATTTCCAGAACAAATGCGATTGGTCATTGTGCCATGCTGTTGTCCTGTCTCAAGGGGAGGGTATTGAGGGAGTGGAGTGTCAGAACCTCAAAGCAGAGGGCTCTGGGAAGTGGTAGTGGGGATCAGGGGCTGGGCTGGCTCTGGAGGAGCTGGTGGAGGTGGACTGACTCTGGAGGTGCTGGTGGAGGCGGGGTGGGGCTTGGGGGGGTGGACTGACTCTGGAGGTGCTGGTGGAGGCGGGGTGGGGCTGGAGGGGTGGACTGACTCTGGAGGTGCTGGTGGAGGCGGGGTGGGGCTTGGGGGGGTGGACTGGCTCTGGAGGTGCTGGTGGAAGCGGGGTGGGGCTGGGCTGGCTCTAAGCTGGAGGCCCGCTGCCTCTCAAGAGGGAACCTTGGCTCTTTTTTGTCCTTACAGTAACAAAGGTATGGAACACCTGCTCAACATGAAGTGCAAGAACGTGGTCCCCATTTATGACCTGCTCCTGGAGATGCTGAACGCCCACACACTTCGGGGGTACAAGTCCTCGGGGTCGGAGTCCAGTCTGGCAGAGGAGAGGCAGAGCAGGGAGAACTGCCAGACCCCGGAGTCCCTGTGAAGCCCAGTGTGCAGTGAGCCCCACTGGAGGCCAGAGACTGAGTGGCACGTGCAGTGGGGTGCAGTAGGCCGGTCAGCGTTGCCTCTCTGCTGCGTGGTGGCCCCTCACTGCTAAGCCAGGCTCGGCCAAGTACCACCTTCTGTCCATCTCCTCGCCTCCTGTGTTGAGAATCCAGTGAGAAAGTGATACATTTCCTTGTTCTCAAGGGTGGGCACGTGTAAATGCTGTTTATTATCTTGGATGGCCTCATAGGATCTCAGTGTGGTCTCTCTGGTTTTCCATCTCCCCCACTCTTCGGGAAGACTTTGCAATGAATGAATGGTGGGAACCTGACTCAGGAGGGTTATTATTAAGTAGAAAAGGAGAGTGTGTGAACCCTTGTTAAAAAGTGGGCTCATTTTAGTGCAGTCTCTAAACTACCCTAAGAATAGAGCTTGGGATACTTTTGGAGCCACAGTGAATGCCTATGGGAGCAGCAGTCAGAAAATCACACCATGGACTTGCACTGGACCAACCTTCTGGACCTCTTTATTAAAGTGTTAAAGTGCAAGGATGCCGTGGTTATTTTCAGTTGCCCCCTATGCACGTCAAAGTTGGACAATGAATAAAGAATAATGAATAATGGTGTTGGGAATATTGACTATATCATGAACTACTGGAGAAATGAACAAATCTGTGTTGGAAGAAGTCCAGGCAGAATGTTCCTCTGAAGTGGGGATGGTGGAACTCCTTCTCCACGCGTCCCCAGGACAGACCCTGCCTGGAGAAGGGTGCCATGCTTGGCACAGGAGTGGGGAGAGGGGCAGCTCCTTAGTGGCCTGGCACAGTGGCTGCAGCAATGGGCTACTCGTGAGGGAGGTGTGGGACTGACTGGGCAGTGCCTTGTTCTTTTGTACAGAAGCTCTCGGAGTTGGAATGCTTTCAGTGGCACCGAACAGCCCTGTCCTCTGGACCACCTGATGATAAGACTGAAAACCACAATGAGAATGGACCAGTTTCACACACCTACCTCACAGCCTGTGAGGACTGATATCACACATCACTATGACTCCATCAAAGCCCAAAGGGCCTAGACCTAGGGATCCCAGGGGCCCAGCTGAGGCATCCTCCCCCAGACCCTGCTGCCATTTTAACACAGATTACTCTTGATTTGCATTTCGAGAACCTGCTGACCAGTTGGGGAGGCTGCATTTTCATGGGGGGATTTAAACCTCCCAGCCTCAGCAGAAGCCTTCCTTAAAACTCTATCTATTGTCCCAGGATTGTTGTTCTGGCTCCCCAGCCCCACCCCCGTATGGAGAAAGTCCTAGGATTTGTAGGAATGAGGCTCTCTCTGGTCAGTGCAAAGAGCCCTAGTGGCATTATGGCTAAAGCAGTTGGCAGCCCAATGAAAGATTGGCCTTTTGATCCTACCAGCTGCTTCATGGGAGAAAAAGGTGGTAGCCTGTTTCTGGGACAATTATGGCCTTGGAGCCCTGGAAGCAGGTCTGCCTTGTAGGGTCACCAGGAGTCAGAACTGATTTTGAGGCAGAGATTTTTTTTTCTTCTGGTCGGTGTAGGTTGAAGCTGAGGCGGAAGCTACCATCACATTGTCCATCAGGGGAGACAAGGACATTTCTGGCTGTGGATATACAAGGAGTGCTGGTCTGTGGCAGGAAGAGTACACACGCCAGCGTGTCGGTCAACTGACCAGATGATACCACTTGTTAAGCACAGCACTTAAACAAGGCCTGCTTGTGAACTCAAAAACAGTTTAGGGGTGATTATTTAAAAAAGTTTCTTTATGCCCTAGAGTATTTGAAAATATTTTCTTATCAGAACATTTATATGGTGAGTTGAGAGAAACAGAAACTTAGTACAATTAGTTCTTATTCCGAGTGGAAGATGAATTGGATGTGGCAGCAACAGTCACTGTCTAGTCGATTCAGACTCACACCTCCTCTGAAAGAATCCTAACTTGCTTTCTAAAGAGTAAATTTTCCAGAACACTGTGAATGCATAAATGAGTTACATTTTTACACTGGAAACTTGATTTTTGTGATAATGTCTAAAAAGTTACTTTGTGATAGGAGATTAAAAGCATTTTCTTTCTTAAATTAGGTTTACTTTGCCAACACATTCTGTTTTGCAAAGAAATATTTTTATTTAATAAGATTTGGTACATTTTTTAAAAAACTGCTTAAAACCTTGAAAAAGGAATACAAAATTAAGGGAAGGAAATTATGGAAAACACTTAACATTCAGTACTTAAAAAATATTTATGGGGTGCTTCCCGTGTGCAGAGAGGTATTTGTGCCCCACATATTCTTTTTGAACCCTCATAATAGTTACCCCAACTTTTCAGCTGTTGAAACTTGAAAGAGAAGAAATAAACTTACTTGATGTAAATGATAGAGCTCCACAGTCTGACTGCAGTGCGGAAACTGGCTGTACCATTCAACTAGTTTAGAAATGAAAAATATTTTTAAGCTTCACAATCTACACATTAAATTCAATCTAACGTGTTCTGGTTAAGTGGGGTTATGGTCTACTCTCAGCATTCCCCTCTAAATATCCAGAACACCCCTTCACAGTAACAGTTTGCAAACTTCAGAAATAGACGTTGAAGCTCATCTTTTATACTTAAAAAAATTAAAAGTCCGAAGTGGTAAAAGGACCACCTCAAGGTTCTGGTACTACTCACAGCAGAGCCTGGGCCAGGACTGGTGTTGAGCCAGCCGGCCCAGCACTGCTCTGCACAGGACTGGCTCCACAGTGTCCGCCCCTTGAGCCGAAGGGCAGGGTAACGGATACCCTTCGCCTCTTGCTGCACCTTTAGATTCTGTCCACTCATCTTAGGTGAGATCTGCAAGGACCTTTACAGGACAGGAGTGACACATGGGTAAAGAATTCTTTTGTTCCCATCCTCTCCTCCTAGGCTCCTAGTGTACACAGCTGCCCCTTTCCAACTGCTACTGGTTTTCCCAAAGGTGTTTTGAGTATACCCCGTGGAAATTTACCCACATGAAATCGTCCATCTTTTAGATACTTGGCACTTTCCTGTGGAGTTTGGTATACTAATGCTTTTGGAAACACATGCTTTATTCTTTATAGCTCTCAAAGACGCAGGAATTCTGGCTTCAGTGATAAGCTCTAAACTGTGCATTGTTTCTGCAACATATGATCTTTTCCCGTTTTGCTGCTTTGGAGTGAAGGATTTGTGAAATTCCAAGGCTTCCAAGGTTCACTCTTGGGGGTGGTCTCTAGTAGGTGATGGTGGGTTTCCTCTGCAGGCGGGGCAGAGGTTTGAGGCTCCTGCTAACTGTAATGTTACTGAATTGCTTTGTCTGTGGTGAACGTCTAAATGCTGGTCTTGTGTCCCTCAGAGCCTGCTGGTTAGGATTTACCAGCTTTTCAGCCGAACGCTTTGTACTATTAAACCAATTTGTTGATGATCATCATGGGCTTTTAAATTTGGACCTTTTTAGATATCAAAGATTGCTGTTGTGTGAAGGCAGAATCTGTCTTGCCCTCCAGCCCTCTAGATAGTATTTTTCCCTTGGTGTCTCTTTAAAGTTTATAGTACTCTTACAGAAGGAAATGTAACATGACGTAAATGTAATAAAGTGTTTTCCATAAATTTTTTGTTTTCAAATTTTATTTGTTGAGAGCCGAGTATAAAAACTTTCTATAATTAGGCAAAACAAACAGTATTTGCATTCTGTTCTGAATTCTCTTTCAGGTCACAGAGCTTTTGGGGAATTTGATGAAAATCTAGGGGAAAAGCACATGGGCACAAATGTTTGCATATAATTTCTGACTAAATCCAAGGCTTTTTGAAACAGAAACACATAATCATTAGTCGGCTATTTGCAAGGTCGTAGGGATTTATAACCTCAGGCATTTGTGTGCTCAAGTAAAACAGACCACAAAAAGAAAAGTTGTGGCATCTGGAGCCTCAGTCCTTCGGGCAACAGCGGTTCCCTCTGAGGGGCGGTTGTTGTCATATTTCATGTTGTTGTCTGTGACTCAGTGATCCTATGTACAAAAGCTCTGAATTCTGCTCTATCCTGAGCCAATCTCACTGTCTCTTGACACACCTACCCCTGTTAACTGTTATTGTGTCAAAGGCCTTTGTCCTAAAGCAGTGCAAATAATTAATATGCAGAATGGTAATTAAGATATAAACAACTTTGAGCAGCTGTTTCATCTTGCCTCAGTCTGTAAAGGGCAGAAAAGGCCTGGGTCTCTGGCACAACTGTCCTTTGTAGTGGAAAGCAGAAAACAGGGACAGAGAACTCTGGCAAATCAGAACAAAGCCCTCTCCCTAAAATTCAGTGGCTTAAAGGAAAAAGTAGGTATTATTTCCACTTAAAATTCCCTTTGGGGTTAATGTGACCCATGAACAAAGACTGTTTTAGGGAGGAGAAAATGCTTTGTGGTAAAGGCTCCTTTCTCTTCATCACTTCAACAACTGGGTAGCCTGGAATGCTGCACGTGTAGTGCAGACAGGTTCAGGGCCTCTTCCCATAAGAGCTGCTCAGGAGCGACATGTGTCCTCCACGGAGAGGGCACAATATTCACCATCTGGGCTTGTACAGTGATGGGCTGCACTGGTTCTTGTGAGGGGAGCTGTTCCTGGCAGAGGAGAGGAGGGGACTGAGATTGTTGGTAAGTCATCAGTGTTGCCAGGTCCAGAGATGATGGTCAGGAACATTTAGCCCTGGAATTAGGTTCAGTAATTTCTAGAAGGTCTAAGAGTCAGGGGACAGGGCAGCGGAGGTGGGGGTGGGGTGGATGCAAAACAATGTTGAAGACAGTTTCTCACCAAGCAGGAGAAATACTGATGTCAATATACATCTTGCTTAGATGAAAATGGGTGTTAGTACTGGACTTGTCAGTGATGACATATTCTCACAGAAAAATCCCTCTTTTGTGTCTCAAGGAGGTTTATCTTAAACAGGTCAAGACAGGAAGTTAATGGATCTTCCACTGTTTAAGTAACTTTATAATAAGTGTTTCCCCCTCCCCAGTCTGAACAGAATGGCCCTAACCACAGCCATAATCTTAGGAAATCACTTACCCATCCCCCTTTTAAGAAAAAGCTGGCAGTTCTGGTATCTATGGAGAGTAGGACCGTGACTTAGTTCTGACCTCTGTCCCATCTAACAGTCCCCTTTCTTCGCCACTACAAGGTTCTCCCTTCCCCTCCTTTACTCTGATGTTGTCGGTTGCCATGGAGTTAATTCTGACTCATCCACCCACCGTAGATGAGCAAAGCAGAACTTTCCACTAGGGTTTTCCAGGCTCTGACCTTTCAGAAAGATTGCCAGGTATTCCTGTGGAGGAGGGAATTGTGCTGCTAACCCAAAGGCCAGGTCTCTCTAGTCGTTTGAACCTACCAGCGCTCCAAGGGAAAAAGGCAATTTCCTCCTGTGCGACATGGTCTCAGAAACTGACCAGGGGGTCAGCTGAGAGTCCATTCCAACTCCACAGCAATGGCTAATGAGTTAACCTGAGGCACCTCTGGGTTGGGTTTCAACCATCATCTTCACACCTGGTGCAACTATTACGATTAGTATTACTATTAGTAGTCTGGCACTGAAACTTTTGCACCACTCAGAGACTGCCCCTTATTATAAGCCTCTTTTGCCAGCTTTAACAGCCCAGTGCAGTTTTTCTTTTGATACTTAGAAACCAAGTGGCTTTGCCTGATTCCTATTCATTTCCTGTGGAGAGAGCTGAGAAAACACTGGGTGAAATAAACCTGTGCTTTGTGTTTAAGTGCACAAATGCTGTTTCCTTTCTGGCCCTGCCTGCCGCTCCCCCCTCCACTTCCCCGGCTCCCTACAGCAGTTGAAGGTCTCCCACCACAAGGGACGTGATTTAGAGACTGTGATTTACAAATAAGAGGCTCTTCCCTGCAGGCAGGTTGGCTTTTCTAGATCTTCTAAGTGATTCTGAACAATGTTAAATGGAGAGAGTATATGAAAACTTAGTTTAGCACGAAAATGAATTTTTAAAAATAATGCTTGCTCAAATTTAACGGAACAGCAAGCAACAAATGCTGGTGAGGTTGTGCAGAAACTGGAACCCTTATTCACTATTGGTGGGAGTGTAAAATGGTGCAACCACTGTGGAAGGCAGTGAGACACTTTCTCAAAAAGTTGCAAATAGAGATACCATTTGACCCAGCAACTTCACTACTGGGAATATACCCCAAAGAGACCATAACTGACATCCAAGCAGATATATGCACACCCATGTTTATCGCAGCTTTGTTCACAATAGCAAGGAACTGGAAACAACCTAAGTGCCCATCAACAAACGAATGGAGAGAGAAGCTGTGGTATATTCACACAATGGAATACTACACTGCATTGAAAAACAAGGAACTCATGCAATATTATTCAAAATGGGTGACCCTGGAGGACATTATGCTGAGTGTGATATCTCAGTCACAAAAGGACAAATACTGCATAGTGCCACTGTTGTAAAACAGGACTGACACTGGGAGGACAAATACTGCATAGTGCCACTGTTGTAAAACAGGACTGACACTGGGGTTGGGGGGAGACTGAGAAAGATGGGATAAATTATGTATACTGCATTGAAACAGACAAGGGAGAAAACTGTTTAAAAGGGATATGTGATTAAGTATTATTGTCATGACCCAAGTCCAGAGCGAAGGCTGCATAGTGGAGTGGACCTAGGGGGAGGGATTGTAAAACAATGAAAGAATTTTTCTTTTACTTTTCAAAGAGAAGAATGAACTGGGGAGGAGGCGTGGGCAGGGAGAAAAGAGCAACAATGAATGAATGGAAATCCAAAGTCTCTGTAAATTTTCATTTGAATTATTAAAAAAAGGGGGGAGAATGCTTGCTCTTTGGAAGACTGAAGCATACCCTTTAACTGCTTTGTAATATAATCCAGTACAAGAGTTCGGGTTTTATTTTTTTTAATCAGAAACATCTGGGTTGTACACAAACAACTCCCAAGTTTCTATACTGATCCCTTTGACCAAACAGTTCAACAAAACTTGAAAGTATCATTTTAAATGTGAAAAGTCTTACAAAATTAACTTACAAAAACCTTCTCTATCAAATCTGTGGTTTGGCAATTACTGTACAGGTAGTCAAAAGCTAAAGCTAAAATGTATTTTAAAAAAAATCGAAGTTTACATTATCGATACAGATTGAGCATTGTTAAAAAATATGCACAATAACCACATCCATGCAATAGAATGTCTTTAAAAATGTAAGCAATATAAAAAAGCAGAACTAAGTACTGGATAGAAATATTTTGGTTTATCACTTGTAGCTCCAGATTGCTACCTGACTGGAATAGAATTAATTCTAAACTCTTTAAATATGATTGTTTCAGTCCATCAGCAAAGGGCGGGTGTGGGTTTCTAAGGTAGACTGCTGGCTTGATTCTGTGACACAGATTAGGTGATGCCTGCTGCTATTCACTGACCACAGCAGTGACATTATAATCAGGGTGTTTGACAGGTAAATCAGAAGTCACAAAGTGCTTGGCTCCCCAGGAACTGCACAGTCTAGGGATGCCTAAATCAGCAAATCCCCTAAGGAGGAGCTGGACAGGTTCCCCGTCCTGGGAAAACAACAGCACTTGAAGGCTAGTCCTGGGCTGCAGAGAGCCTTCTCTCCTGGGCCAGAGGGAGGTGTCCGAAGCAGCTCCCTGGATTGTGCCAAAGCCTAACAGTTGCACTCAGGTTGGGCTGGGCACTGTGGTAAGCCGGCTGGTTGTGTGGCCAGGCCTCTCTATGTGGGGGGAGGCCCGTTGGTATAACGCAGCATGGGGTAAAAGGACCGTGCGAAGTTGTTGGCCTGGGTACAGCTGTAGTCCTCTTCGGAGGAGGGCAGCAGGCAGGCCAGAAGCAGCAGCAGCAGGAGCAGCAGCTGCAGGGGCAGAGCCACCCTGATGACCCGGGAGAGGAAGGAGCGCTGTGGCCGCGAGCTGCCAGGGCCGGGCACCCTGCCAACAGAGGAGGTGGAGAGCTGGTCAGTAGGTCTAGAAAGCAAAATCCACTTAAGTTACCTCCCCCACTCCCCGCTCACACCAAACGAGAAATCTAGGTTGAGAGATTAAAAAGGGCCCAAGTCTTGGGGTTCAGTTTGGGAAGAGACACCTAGTCCTTTCCAAATGAGAGCAACCCACGAGCCGGACTTTCACCAAGCCACAGAGAGTGGAACTGTGCAGACTGGAGGGGGGGACAGGACACTTGTAACGCAGCAGTACCTGCTATCTGGCTTGTTCTGGCCTTTTGTACTTCTCTCAGCTCCAATCTGCCAGATAAAAAGAACACAATTAGTAAGCAGAGGAAAAGTTAGCCCTGCCAGTGATAAACTGTCCTTTCTTAAATTATACCCTCCTTAGATAATTTTCCTGCTAAGCTTTGAGACTAGAGAAAGGCACTGGAGAGTAAATTCTGATGGAGGAACAAGTTTGGTATGAAGTCTTCTGTTCCACATTCCAATGTATTAATCTGTTTCAAATGGTAAACTGAGGGACCCGTTCAATACAAGAAGGGCTCTCTCTCCTTTTACCCCCTACGGTGATGCCAACGGATAAGCGCTAAAAGAAGAAAGCCTTTCAATTAGCTCTTTAAAAAGGATATGCTGCCCTTATAAAAACCACCACCCAACTTAGGAGCAAGCCTCCCTGTAAACTGCAAGGCTGAAGCAGATCTGTGCCGTCTTGGGAAATCTAATGGGACCTTGGCCCCAAGTTTCTGACATCTGAGCAACTGTGGCCCTCACCTCTTCTTTACTTGCAGGCACGGATGCTTCGGGATGCTGGCCCCCTGAGTCCACCCCGTCGTAGCTGGGCAGAGATAGATCTGGGTTCTGAAATTCACACCCAAAGGTTCCTTTAGTTCAGGGAAACAGAAGGCTCTAAACAGACTCAAGAGCGAGCACTGGGCCCAAGGCCAGTTCTTCATTGCGCTGCTCTCCCACCTCCCCCACACCCCCCAGGCTTAACTCCTTGGAAAGGAACTTCTTCAAGTGCTCTGCTCCCCTACTACCAAAGAAATTGTCAGGACAAAGGGAACGTAAACTATCGAGAAAGTTTACAAACCATTTTCACTGAAACCCACAGCACCAAGATGAGGTGGGGAGACGAAGTTAGAAAGAAGGACCAAAGAGCTGACACTGAGCTCCCACATGGAGCTTCCTCCATGACTGTGATGTAATAATGGAGCCATCAAGACAATATAGTCTTGTCTGCATAGGAGGCTCTGGATGGTAGAAACAGTTAAGTGCTTGATTACCGACTAAAAGATTAGTGCTTCTAACCCACCTAGAGATGTCTCAGGACCAGGCCTGGTGACCTGCTTCTGAAAGACAACCTTGAAAACGGTTCTACTCTGCACACCTGGGGTCACCATGAGCCAGAACTGGCCTGATAGCAACAAACAACAGAATGGCGGGTGTAGGTCTGCCCTCAGTTTGGTGAGACCATTTGGTTCAGGTGTTCCATGTGTTCTGAGTTGTAGAACAGCAGAGGTGGTGCACAAATGAGAACAGAGTTATAAGAAAGTGACCATACAATGAAGTGAACTTGGAATTGTTACGTGAGAAGGCTAAGGCAAGGCAGATACAACAGATGAGAGTTGCTTTTCATGGCCCTGGCCAGACCAAGAGGTGGGCATTACTGTCAGCTAGCTCCCTCTCACAGAGGACTAAATAGATTCAAAGAGCAGGGAACTCTGCAAAGCCTTTTTAGAAAGGCACACGAGCGCAATCCCAGCTGACATCCTCCCTCCATAGCAACGCTGTTTTGCTTTTGCTTCTAATACAAAGTCTGCTGTCAGGGACCTCTCCAGAGTATTGAAGAGCAATGATATCAGTGTGGAGACTGTGTGCCTGATCCAGGCCATAGTCTTTCCAATTACTTACTATGCATCAGAAAGCTGGACAATGACTAGGGATGATAGAAAGAGAATTGATGATGCCTTTGAGCTATGGTGCTGGGGAAGAGTACTGAATATACCATGGACTGCTAGGAGAATAAATAGGTTTGTCCTAGAGAGGGTGAAACCAGGCTGCCACTTGGAGGCAAGGATTCTATAGCTTTTCCTCACATACTTTGGGCATTTTGCAAAAAGGGACCAGTCCTTTGAGAGGGATATGCTTGGAAGGGTGGAGGGATAGTTCAAGAGAGGAAGATACTGGATGAGATGGATTGATTCAGTGACTGGGTAATGAGGGTAGGTGTATCAGAGACAGTGAGGTTGGCACAAGATAGAGAAGGGTTCAGGGCTGTAGTACATAGGGTTTCTGAGTCACAAGCGATTTGACAGCACATAACAACAATTACAACAAGAACAATAATGTCTCTGCCTTTAGAAATTCCAGTGGGCTCACCTGACTTTCTTGCAAGGACATTAAGTCTTCAGATACTTGCTTGAGCAACTTTTTGAGTTTCTTCTCAATAACATGGACTTTCTCTTCAGCCTCAATGTAGTCTTCTCCATGTCCCTTAACAAGAAGGCTGTCTGAAATCTCCTGTAAGGAGTTTACTTGAGGTTGTCGTTCCAAGAGCTCCTTTTTAAGTTGCTTTTAAAAAAAAAAAAAGAAAAGTGAAAAGTTACTTGTAGAGAGACGCTGGCATGGCTAGATGAGGCTTTCTTAGTGACAGGAAAGTTCTATAATAAGAGGAGTGGTGCTGAACATTCAACCAGATGTATGGACTCCCATGCTTATTGCTGAATTATCCAAAGAGCAAAAGAGATGGAAGCAACCCAAATGCCTATTAACAAATGAATGGATAGAAAAACTGGAGGTTTACTACTTACATCTGCCTGCCCCTCTACCCATTATGATGACAACTGGGATACCAGAGGAGCCGGGGGAAAGATGTGAGGAAAACCAGGTGGGAAGACGAGGACCTCACCTGACTTTCAGTTACTAATGCAGAAGCCAAGGGGAAAAGTCCACGACTGACAAATTATGAAGTTATCAGGCAGATGGGTTTGAATTACTGAGGGGAGTTACCGTACTTGCTATCCAACAGGGAAAACACTGGACATATGTGGTTATTTAACTGTAAGTTCAGGTTCTCATTCACCCTCGTCACATTCATGTCCTCTGGTGGCTAGTGGCTGTCACGCTGCCTAGACACGGAACATCTCTATCCTGTACAAAGTCTTATTGGACACTGCTGCTTTGGAGACTGGGGCTTTACAAAGACTTTCAGAGAAATAAATGGTTTTTAAAACAGTAGCACTTGGATGAAATGTTTCTGTTTTTGTTGTGTACCATCACGTCAGAACTGGCCCATGGCTGACCCTGCAGCGAGTTTTCAGAGGCAGTAAATCACATAGGAGAAGACTGCCCATCTTTCTTCCTTGGAGTAACTGGCGGATTTGAACTGTGTTTTTGGGATTACAACACAGCTTCCAACCATGAGGCTACCAGAGCTCCTTTGATGAAATTTATGACATTTAAAATGTGAACCACATATACACTTTGTAGGGAGCTCTGATGGCCTCGTGCTTAAGTAGTTGGGCTGATAATTCTAAGGCAGAGGATTTAATTCCACCAGCTGCTCGAAAGAAGAAAGATGGACAATCTCCTCCTGTGTGATTTATAACCGCTGAAAACCCACTGGTTCAGCTATCAGTTGGCTCTGACTCAAAAGCAATGACGGGATATAAAAAGAGTAGAAAAAAAATGTCGTCTGGAGTGTTCAGTACAAGCAAGAACACACAGAGGCCTCATCTTGGTTTGTGAGGCAAATATATGAAATGACAATTAGCCTCCAAGAAGTGGATGAATATCCTCACCTGGTTCATCATCTCTACAAAGCACCAAACCATTGTATAATCTCTACATCCAAAACCAGCAGCCTTCCCAAGGGAAAGTCTGCTGCCCTGGCCTCGAATGTTGTCTTGAAGACATGCTGCTGTGGACCATGGTTCTCATCCCGTCGACCACTCTGCTGTAGGGCCACTGAGAGATGCGAACCCAACAGCAAGCCCTACCCAGCACCCTGCTGTTCGGTAGATTCCCACTCACAGCAACCCTCCTTTGATTTTCTGAGGCTTCAGGAGAGGAGACTGTCCATCTTCCCCTCACGGAACCCCCAATAGATTTGAACTGCTAATCTTTCATTGAGCAGCCCAACTCAGAACTCACTATGCCACCAGAGTTCCTTAAGAGAGTCATCCCTCCCATCGCTCTTGAGTCACAATCCGCTCACAGTGACCCTCCAGTAGCTTGCTGAAGCTGCACGTCCACTGCACAGGAGGAGATTGCCCATCTCTCCCCCCGTGGAGACGCTGGTGGGTTCAAACTGCCAGAAAGGCGCTGCCTTTAGGTTGCTAGTGCAGCACTCTAAACCAGGCCACCACGGCTGAGAGAGATCACAGCAGACACCAAATGAGCACAAGGGCGAAACTCAGGAGGGCGGTGTCTACTCCACTCAAAGGCAAGCAGCACTCGGTGTTTTGCTTCACTCACAGCAGAGCAGGCTGCCTAGTACATGGACCCATCACAGCTCATCGGAGCAGCAGCAGCTGGTGTGGAACCCAAGAGGGGAAACTTACCACTAGAGCCTGCTGGCACTCCACGAGGACCCGAGGGTCTGCGTCAGGATCGGTGACACGGGCCTTCTGCCTCCGGCTCTCGGCACTTGCTAGCCACAGGAGCAGACTCTGACTCAACTGGTGGAAGTCCTTGAAAAACAACACACATCACAACACTGCCCTTTCTCAGAACTCTCAAAGAAGAGATGCTGGTTGTTTGTAACCCATTGTGGCCAGCTATTCTTCTTGTCTTATACAGTCAATAAAAAAAAGTCAAGTTTAAATTGAATGTCAGGGCCCCAGCAGGGAAAAGGGAAAGCAAGCGCATAGGCCCGGAAGGCAGAATGAATTCTGCAAAGTGACAGGGCTAACAGAAATGACTCAAGAAGAGTGCACGTGTTTCTCCTCATATACTGATTCAGGGGATAAGGGACATGCGACCCAAGAGGACAAGCTGTGGCCCAAGGGGAGGGCTTGTGTGGGGGCTCTCTCGGTACTAAGCTGGCTCAGAGCAAGGATGTCCCGGGTGTGCGCTGTGTGGCAGGTGTGGAGCTGAGCAGACACACACTACCTCAGTTAGTCCTAAAATCAGGCACTAAAATCAGCCCCATATCTCAGAGGAGAAAACTAAAGTCTGGAAGGTTTGACAACGTGCCCAGAGTCACATGGCTCTGAAGTTGTTGTTGCTTAAATAAACAGATCTGTTTAAGAAATCTCTCAATTATATGGTTTCCTGGCAAGAGGACAGAGAAGGAGGTGACACCGCAGTGCTGGAAGGCCTCTGGAACCCTGACTCTCAGGGACAGGGCCCAGGTAACCTTCAGGCTCAGAGCGACAGGTGGCTTCTCTTTGGGAACAGGCAGTAAAGCACATGCTTCCTCACTCAGGCCACATGTGGCGGAGCACGAGCAGCCGGCGATGATAAAAATACCCACTTCCCTCACCTCTCTGGGCAGTGGCTCTCGGGCAGCCTGGTGTCAAGTCAGCGTACCTGGCACTGCATGAGTGACTGCCGCAAGCCCTCCCTCCAGCTGTCCACGGCCCTCCGCGTCGCCTCCCAGTGCAGGCTCAGCTGGTGGAGGCGGCTCTGGAGCTCCTTGGGCTCGGCGCTGCTTTCCTCAAATGCCTTGCCGCTCGCGTTGACGGAGTCCACTAAAGCCTTGTGGGTGTTAAAGGCGTGTAAGATCTCCTACAGCAGAAGGGGAAGATCAGGTCAGTCACCCGGGGAAAAACAAAATGTGGGCTTTGCCTTGGACCTCACTAGGAAACAGACCTTCCAAAACACTTTCCAAGCTGCAGCCACAGAAACAAGAGTGACCTCGCCCGTGACTGGCTGGGCAGCGTCAGGTGAGAGGCCTTGCCTTACAAGGTCAATGAACTCGGCTGCAGGCAGGGCCGGGAGCGGGAGACAGGAACAGACCCTGCCTGCTGACCTCTAAGGGCCTGGGCTCCCTGGCTGGCTCCAGAAAGATTTTCGACCAAATTAAATGTTCCCTAAATAAAATATACCAGGTTATCCTGCTTTTGCCCACAAATAGCAAAGAAACGTTACTCTTTAGAATGAACAGTAACCATTGATACACTCATGCACATAGTAAAAGAAAAGTAAAAATTGGAAATAAAAAGCCAGTTGCAACTGAGTCAATTCTGACTCATGGAGCACACCAGCCTGTCACAGCAGAACTACGCTCCACAGGGCTTTCAATGGCTGGATTTTCAGAAGTAGATTGCCAGGCTTTTCTTCGGGGCACCTTTACTCAAACAACCAACCTTTCAGTTAGCAGAGGATGTTAACTGTTTGCGCCACCCAGGGCCCCTAAAACATGAAGGATGCCTGGATACCCCTAGATCATTCTCTGGGTCCTTGTACAGGGCTCACACTAGCTCCTTGACTAGATCCAGTGGTGCAGGGGCTCACTAAGTGGGTGGTAAATCCTAACTACATAATGGAGTAGCTAGGCTGCATCAGCATTCACCATCAGAGACCTAGGTGGCCCTGCTGCTCATGCCTCCAACGTGCTCTACCACTGACTGGAGCCAGGACTGCTACACACAATTGGATTTGTTTGGGTTTAAGTCTTTGTTAAGGTAAACACTGACCGAGTCACCACTAGTGCCTAGAATCCAGTGACATCTCTAAATGGCATTCCCGGCAATAAGCATCACCTCGGGATACTCTTCTATGTGGGGAAAAAAAAATCTGCATCCATGTCACCATCAGTGACAGGAGGACAATGGAACAGGTTGGCTGGTCCCCACCAGACACCACTGGAAAGGTGCTGGCTGTATCATCCACACCTGAGTCCCACCTTCCCTGCACACCTTGGCCTCACCTTCAGTCTCTTCACCTTGAGTTCCATTTCCGGGATACTGGAGGGGGGCGCTGCCATCTTTAACGTTTCCAGTTCTGCGTCGGTGTTCCTCAGCCAGGTGGTGATGTCGTTGATGCTGGAGTTCAGCTGCTGCAGGTTTTGTTTTAATCTAAGTTTGCTGTGAAGTTCTTGTGATTGAATCAGTTCCCATCTGTCAAAGGCACCTGGAATAAGAAGCTGCCAATTAACAAAACCATAAAAAGCGCAAACACATTTCCCTGCTTTACATTAACTAGGGGCCGGGGTGATCAAAGCCTTGCTAGGGTCATCTCTCTGCCTGGAGTCTAAAATTCCTTCATCCCCTCAGCTCTAGTTCAAGGTCTGTGCCACTACACTCCCACCGGGCTGGAATGAGGGGGTGGGCAGTAGGGTACTCGGTGTGGAGTATGATCTTAAGTCCAGCATTCCAGTGCAGGATATTTTTAAGCTGCTTTTTCTTTTAACCCATGAATAATTAGGTCAGTGCTCTATCAGGTTTAGCTTAATGACTACTCTTTAGTTATTGTTTTAATAGGCCCTGAACTAGTCTCATTAAAGAAATCCTTATCACAACTCTGATCATCTTCATGTGCTTTCTATACAAGTGAAGTCATTGAAGCACGCCACTTCATCACATGAAGCTCATTTTGTCAATATTTTTAAAATGGTTTTGAAAGTAAATCGAACGATTTAGGAGTTAAGTCATAAATACAGGTTACCCGATTCTTAAATAACATTGAGTGCTGCTGAATGAGAATCACATAGGTGGTCAATTCCTAATTCATGTTCTGTTGTTCACCAACTTCAAGTAAAGGTTCAATTAACCTATAAAACCACAGCCCACGGGGAGCTCTGGTGGCCTAGTGGCAAGAAGCTGCACGGCAATGCCAGAGGCGCACGGTTCGAATCCATCAGATGCTCTGCCGGGAAAGGAGGGACAATCTCCTCCTGTACCCGTCAGATCCGATTTGACGGTACACACAAATAATAAAACAAAAATTAAAAAATTGAAAAAAAAAAACCAAACCAACCAAAAACCACAAACACAAATAATAAAATAAAAAAATAAAACAAACAAACAAAAAAACCACACCCCACACCTCCTGATGACTGTGCCCTTGTAACCATACCTGACTGCTGTCCAGTCAGCCCTGTCAGCCCTTCCTCTTCCTGCGGGGCGCTGCTGGTCAAGAGCCTTGGGCCCTCTTTGTCACCATCAGTGTCTAGAGGTAACAGCAGCTTTGCCTAGAGGGAAACAAATTTTAAGTCATCTCTGGAAGAGTAAATTCTAATTTTGAGGCCATTTTAAATGCTGTCTGAAGGGCAACTAGCTCAGAGGAATAAATGAAGATATGGGCTCCTTCCCTTCAAGGAACAACTTGCCAGTGTTACAGGGGCATTCAAGTGTACGGCTGCACTTAAGGAAGCAGAGCCAATGGCAGGACTAAAGCCCTGGCAAAGGCCCACAAGGTGGAAGCAGATGGGACATCAATGGTGGGGATAAGATGGCCCGTTTCTCATTTGCATGCTTCCTGATGCTCCTCAAATGGACCATGCAAAAAGAGTTAGAAACAGTTGTTGAGCTTACCAGGCTGTTACTGTTAGCATTTTTGCTTTGCACAGTGTTAGCTCTCCCTGTCACTCAGTAGAGGTGGCTGGCACTATTATCACAGGGAACTGGAAACATACAGTGGACAAACCCATCTCCCAGGGTCATTCATTACCAAGGGCTTATCTTTTTACTGCACATATTGGCTCTTCTGTGATCACAGAGCGGATGGGGCTGTTATCTCAGGTATTTATTATTATTATTTTTATTTTAATGAATATTTACATTGTTGTTGTGTTGTTGTTATGTGCCATCGAGTCGCTTGCGACTCATAGCGACCCTATGTACAACAGCCCTAAACTCCGCTCTGTCCTGTGCCAATCTCACTGTCTCTGACACTCCCATCCCAATTATCCCAGTCACTGAACCAATCCACCTCATAGAGGGCCTTCCTCTCCTGCGCTGTCCCTCCACCCTCCCAAGCATGATGTCTCTCTCCAAGGACCGGTCTCTCCTCACAACATGTCCAAAGTATGTTAGACGGAGTCTCAGAATCCTTGCCTCCAAGGAGCCACCCGGTTTAACCCTTTCCAGGACAAATCTGTTTGTTTTCCTAGCAGTCCATGGTATTCTCAATACTCTTCTCCAGCACCACAGCTCAAAGGCATCAATTCTCCTTCTATCCTCCTTGGTCATTGTCCAACTCTCTGATGCATAACAAGTGATTGTGAAGACCATGGCCTGTATCAGACGCACCTTAGTCTCCAGAGAGACACCATTGCTCTTCAGTACTTTGGAGAGGTCCCTAACAGCAGACTTTCCCATGGCAATGCGCCTTTTAAGCAAGACTGTTGACTACGGAGCCAAGCAAACTAAAGCTGTGTACAATCTCAATCTCTTCACCATCCTTCCTGATGCTGCCAATTGGTCCAGTGGTGAGAATCTTTGTCTTGTTGACATTGAGCCTCAATCCATATCGTAGGCTGCTTTCCTTGACACTCTGCAGCAGGCACTTCAGGTCCTCCTCAGTTTCAGCAAGCAGGGTTGTGTCATCCGCATATTTCCATTCATTCATTGTTGTGTTTTTTTTTTCTCCCTGCCCACCTCTTCCACCCCCAGTTTGCTCTTCTCTTCAAAAGTAAAAGAAAAATTCTTTCACTGGTATACATACAATCCCTCCACTCCGAGTACACTCCACTCTGCAACATTCATCCTGGACTCTTGTCGTAACCATAATACCCAATCATATATCGCTTTTAAACTGTTCTCTTCCTCATCTGTTTCAATGTAGTATACAGAATTTATCCATTTTTTCTCACTCTTACCCCAACCCTGATGTTAGTCCCATTCTACAACAGTGGCACTATGCAGTATTTGTCCTTTTGTGACAGATATTTCACTCAGCACAATGTCCTCCAGGGTCACCCATTTTGAATAATATTGCATGAGTTCCTTGTTTATCAATGCAGCATGGTATTCCATTGTGTGAATATACTACAGCTTCTCTATCCATTCGTTTGTTGATGGGCACTTAGGTTGTTTCCAACTCTTTGCTATTGTGAACAAAGCAGCAATAAACATGGCTGTGCATATATCTTCCTAGGTGGCAGTTACGGTTTCTTTAGGGTATATTCCCAGTAGAGGAATTGCTGGGTCAAATGGTATTTCTATTTGTAACTTTTTGAGAAAGCGCCATTTAGCCTTCCATAGTGGTTGCACCATTTTACACTCCTATCAACAGTGAATCAGGGTTCCAGTTTCTCTGCAACCTCACCAGCAAGTGTTGTTTGCTGCTCTGTTAAATTTTGCTATTCTTACTGGGATGAGATGATATCTCATAGTTGTTTTGATTTGCATCTCTCTTACAGCTAGGGATTTAGCATTACTTAAAAAGAGAAATAAGGTAGGAGGCATCTCACTCTCTGATTTTAAAACCTACTACACTGACATGGTGGTCAAGACAGCATGGTACTGGTATAATGACAGACACAGAGATCAACAGAATAGAATAGAAAATCCAGAAATCAGCCCGTCTACCTATGGTCAATTGATTTTTGACAAAGAGATGAAATTAGTTAAGTGGGGAAATGACAACTTTTTTAACAAATAGTGCTGGCAAAATTGGAAAACTACCTGTAGAAAATTCAAGCAAGACCCACACCTCACACCATACACAAAAAAACAACTCAAAATGGATCATGGACATAGGACTAAAACCAAGGACTATACATTTAATTTAAGAAAAGCTTGGAAGAACTCTAGAAGTCCTAATCCACAACATAAAGAGTCTTCCAAGCATCCTGAAAAATCTACAACCAGGAGAGAGTAAAACAGATGAATGGGATATTCTAAGAATCAAATCCCTATGCACATCTAAAAACTTCTTCAACAGAGTAAAAAGGGAAGCCACAGATTGGGGAAAAAACATTTGGCAATGACATGACAGATAAGGAACTTACATATAGAATTTATAAAATACTCGAGCACCACAACAAGATAAAGGTAAATAATCCAATTGAAAAATGGGCACAGGATTTAAACAGACACTTGACCAAAGACGACATTCAGATGGCCAACAAACACATGAAGAAATGTTCAAAATCCCTAGCTGTAAGAGAGAGGCATATCTCAGGTCTTTTTAAAAAGCAAATATATTTTTTAAAAGAAAAGCTATGCTTTCTTTGGCTTGAGTCCATGTGGCCTATTTGTATAGAATGAGAAAAATTAAGACCCTACAGATATGTAGTGACACGCTCAGTTTTAGATATAATAGGAGGGTAGGACTTTTGGAACTGGCCAAGTGAGGAACACAAGCAGAATCGCTGGGGGAAGTCAAAGTTGAGGGCTCTGGATGGAGAGCAAAGTTCTGGGCTAGGTCATATGTCTTTAACCTGAAGGTCAGACCTTATTCTGCGCATCAGACTAAAAATGGCAATTGCTTGCTACTATGGAGGAAGAGCTTCTGAATTGGGCCTGAACACTTTGTTATCAAATGATCTGAACTTCACCATGTCCAATTACCTAGTCATACTCATTTCTAGGCACAAAAGGCAGTTTGAGAAATCACCTAGTGATGTTTACATTGCTTTTAGTTTCCCTAAAGTAAAAATATAAGGGGTATTTAAGTTTCAACCCTCATTGCTAATGATTATCAATCTTATAAATGATCTAAGGCCAATTTTAAATTTCAGAAGACTGGCTTTCCTTCAACAGTTGCCTATCAGGGCAGATAACGGAGTCCTCTTTTCAGAGGAAAGTGTAACTAAGGATGTACATTCATTATCAAAGACAACAACCCAACCTTAAACTCAAAATTAACCCATTCCTCTTACACTGATTCTAACTCATAGCAACTCTGATAGTATTAGCAATGATGATGACCATTTCTCAAGGTCTTCTCTATTAGGCACTATATTTAAAACTTTGATACCTTAATTTTAACAACTACATGAACAGTTTCATCATCAGATAAGGAAGTTTGGGTTTACAAAGAGTTAAGGCAAAGTGTTTGAAAGCACCATAGCAATTTCGTGGTAGATCTAGAGATCAACTCCACATCTACCACAAGACATTGCCAAACCTTTTAACATGAAGTCATAACCCTTTGAATACGATGTGTGGTTGAAAGGCAAATGATTTTAAAGACTTGAGACCTCAGGGGCCAACACTTCACTTCTCCACCTTCTGGATGGGTGACTGTCTCAACAGTAATAACCGCTGTCATAGCATGCCAACATACAAAAAGCTTGGGGCCAGAAATCCGTCTAAAATCTAGTCAGTTCTGCTAAGGCTCAGGAGAGCAGGCTCTAGAGAGCACCAAAAACTGATTATAGATATTGTTGCCACAGGAAAATCAACTCAAAACATGAGCCAGCACAGTATATTTCAGGAGTGAGCACACATAGTATATATCAAAGTATCCTTTATTTAAACTGTCACTTATAGACTTGGGTCGTAAACCTAGTGAGGTTAAAACTTACATAGGCCGGTTTGTAAGGAGTGCTGGAATCTGAGGGGATAGGCGGAACATTCCTGTCATGTTCCATTTGTTTGTAGTGACGCTTTGGACAGGAAGAACTGTCGGGAACATGCCAGGAGTGGCTATCAGAAATTGATTTGCCTGGAAGAAAAAATAGCAAGTGAGAGTCCATTCTCTTTAGCTAAAAGAGTCATATTTAGCTACATAAAAATAAGGTTATGAGTAATGCAGCATCAGGTTATAGTACAAAAATGAATTCTGCAGCTTTTCTTGCAAAGCATGCATGTTTGCAAAATGTCAGTATGTCCCCGAAGGGAATGAAATGAGACATGCAACTGAGCAACACTGTGTCTTCACTAGATGGGTTCACGATGGAGCACAACAACAAACACATGATTTGCTGCAGGATGAATGGAGCTTTGGAGCTGGGTCTCTGATGGCAGTGCCAATGGGCTGCAAGGCCAGGTTCAGGGCCAAGAGGATAGCCTGCCTCTCGGGAGTGAGGAGGGAAAGAACATCAGAAGGACTTGGGGGCTAAAGAGCTGCTCACAGCTCTACCCCACCACTACACGTGTGTGTCTCAGGGGAGAAAGATCAGATCTACAAATCAAGAGAAAAAGGCTCTTCTACTACAACTACAACAGTGCCTCTACTCCCAACCACCTACTCCTTCTCTTCCCAAGGAATCACCATAAGCAAGAAAACAGTTCCAAACCAAGCTACCATAAAGAAAGCTTGGCCCAGGCCAAGTGGCGAAAAGGAAAAAAGGCACCATGAAAAATTCCCTTCTGCACAGGGCCGAGGGGGCAGGGGAGGGATGGCGTCGAGACCACTTGGCTGTGCGGGGTTTTGTAACAAGCACGCGGTTATGTGTGAGTACGGCAGTGTAAATACACCATGACACAAGGACTGAGGCGCATGGTGTCCACAGAAGGCGGAGGTCAGACACGACATGGAGCGAGGTTTAGGATGCAGTGCGCGCTTCAGCGAGCTGCCATGTTGAGACACATGCATGGGCAAGGGCCTACCAGATGATGCTTTCAAAGTTTTTGTGGTCATTTTAAGATAGGCCTCAGGATTTTCAGGGATTTCTACATCTGAAAAAGAATAATGTCATTTTCCTCGCTGGAGGAGCATGTAGATTAATGTCCGAGTATTATGTATTATGTTAAAACAATAGACACAACGTCACCTGGACAGAGAAAACCAACTACCCTATGTCTTGCAATTGAAAAGGTTTCAAAATGCAGAACAATTTCTCTCTCAGCCAACTCCAGCTACAGGAAGTGGTCAGGTGGGAGGGGAAGTACCGACTTGGAGAATCTCAGCAGACAGGCTTACTCACGGCTTTCTCTAAACAGAACCATCACTGACAATCGTATGCAATTTCATTTGTTTCTCCTTTATTTCTGTCTGTCATAGGAGGGAACCAGCTCTCAGCTAACAGCCCAAATGGCAGGACAGAACAGAACATATGATGCCACACAAAGCCTGGATCAGCCACAAGCTGGTGGGCAGATTCTTTATCACAGACTGGCTGAACTGGTAAGGTGCTACACACACAGCCAAAAAGGTGGATTTGAGGGCCATTACCTGATAGTGCACTGTAGTACGGCCCCTCTTCGTCTTCTTCATGAGAGGAGGAGCCCCCCACGTCACCTGTGTGATCCCACTCCAGAGGTATGGAGTCCACACTGACCGGGGTCTCACACCCAGACCGCTCGTGGCCTGGTGCTGGGGGAACCAGATGGCAAAGGGACTGAGGAGATGGGGGTTCTTCGCTCTCGCCCCTCTTACACCAAGAGTCACTCGGGATCTCTCGCGAGTCTTCCATGTCTGTTTCATTCTCAGAGGCTTCCTTTTCATCCTCCAAGCCCTAAGTAGGAATATTAATTTTAAAAGTAGCTCAAAGCATAGCCCATTACAATTGAAAGGAGCATTCATGCATTTCTAGGACAGAATCAACAAAAATCAGACTCCCAGGTCTACTCCAATTTGGAACAGTCCTTCCAATTGAAATGATCTGGTGTATAAGATGGAATGTACAAAAGCTCTACTTTTTTACCTTTAGGAGGAAAAAAAAAATTGAAATTTTATAATCTGGCTTGAACAAGTTTGACAAGAAGATGAGAAAATGGGAGTCCACAATTCCATAGATGATTTATAGCAAGAATCAGAAAACACACAAAAAAATAATTGTACTCTGGACAAGATTTCTTCTACCTTATTCACCGTGTGTTGTTAAGTAGTTGTAAACGACTTCATTTAAAAATGAGGGCATTTCTAATGTTCTTTCTGATGAAGAAAGTCAGTTTTCTGAAGATGGTCAGCTGGGGACAGATACTCACTCATCTACACAAATGACCAGTGCTGTTGGTCAATGGTTATTATTAAATAAAGCCCTTGACACAAAAAGGCAGTGAACTTTTGAGGTCCCTTTGTCAAGGGAAAGATCAAAGTTGTTTCATTTCAGAGATGAGAACAAAGTACCAGGAACGCAGGAATAGTAAAAGCTCCCAGAACCAAGATAAAGAAATAACAAACACTCTCCAAGATTAAAGCAAACCAGAGCAGTTGACAACTGCTTCAAGGGTCCTGACACATGCCAGAAAAACCCTGTCCTGAAGAATACATCTGAAGCAGGGACAGAGGCAAGAGTTTTTGGAAGTCCCATCTTTCCCAGTGGCAACAGGACCTCCCCGAGTGATAGGGTGGTTGTGGTGTACCATCGACTTGGAACCGACTCACAGCTGACCCTCCAGCAGGTTTACAGAGGCAGTTAATCGACTGCCCATCCTTCTGCTGAGCAGCTGGTGGCCTCGAGTCGTGTGCCTTTGGGATTTCAGTGTAGTTTCTTGTCAGTAGGCCACCAGAGCTCCTCGAGTACAGGGTACACAGCATTTTATTTTATTTTGTTTGGTAGATACCATGTGTTTTTAAAACAAATTGAAGGTCTATCAGCAATTCTATCAGTGTCATTTTTTCCCCCCACCAGCATGTGTTTACTCTGAGCCACATTTTGGTAATTTTCACAATATTTTAAATTTTTTCATGAAGATACTGCACATTTCATAGACTGCAGCATACTGTAAATGTTTCTCAATATTTCAAACTTCTTCATGAAGATATTGCACATTTCACAGACTGCTGCATACTGTAAATGGAAGTCTCAGATGCACCGGGAAATGGAAAAGTTGGTGTGGCTGCTTTATTGTGGTGGCTTGGAAGTGAACCTGTAATATCCCCATGGTTTGCCTGTGATGGTGATGGGGATTCCAAGAAATGGAAAGGAAAAAAAATTGTTTTTGAACCTAAAACAAATCACAGTTAACGTTACAAGGTAAGCTGCCAGCTGCTTTAAGACTGCAGTCAAATGTGAACCCCGTGTGGCACAGTGGCCTCTGTGCACGATCCCCTTACCGGAGCGTGGGAGGTGAGGCGCCGGTGGAAGCGGGAGACCCTGCCAAACACCTCCTGACAGTACCGGTGGAGCTCCTCCAGCTCGTCCTCAATCAGCACAGCATCCAAGGGCTCACTCTTTTGAATTAGCTGCTCTCCAAAAACTATGAGCTGATCAATCTTGTTGGTATTGAGTGTAATTTCCTGTTGGAAACCCTATTTAGCATGTGAGAAAGAAAGGGCTTCAAAGAAAGAAATTTCCCCGGGAGTTTTCATAAATTCTGCTTCTTATGCACCACCAAAGAGAAAAATATCAATGTGCCCTTACTGCTTGGCCCTTCTCCTTATATTCTAGCTTCATCATATTTTAATTAAGTGATGATGAAAATTTAGTATACATATTTTCTCTCTCTTCCTTCTGGGCACTGGCTTTTTCCAATGAAAATATTTCTTAAACCTTAATAAAAATTCACCACCTTCAAGCAGACTCTGATTCATGGTAGCCATTCATTGGTTTAAAAACTATCACTCTTTATAGGAGGAGACTACCCATTTTGTAGAACAACTGATGGATATGAACCATCAACCTCTTGGCTTGCACTATGCCACCAGGGTTCTTGAAGGATAGACATTTATAGTTACTGGCGGAGGAAGAGGTAGTGACTGGTGAAACAGAATATTTCTCATTATACACAACGTATGAGCAGTCATTTTCATGGATGCAATGTAACATTCATCACTGTCATATATATTACTACTCAGGTAGGGCAAATTTCCACTTATCAATATCTTCTAAAATTCAATAAAATGGGGAATTACATTGAGATTATGGCTCTAGGGGCTTAATGGTAAGGAGCTGTGCTGCCAACCCAAAAGCATGTGGCTCTAATGTACCAGTTGCTCTTTGGCAGAAAGATGAGTCATCTTCTACCATGCAACATATTGCCTCTGAAAACCAGCTGGAGGCATAGCTGTGAGTTGGTTCCAACTTGATGGTACATAAGAACAACATAACATATGGCTTTTGAGTGATATAAATGGTTGACATGCTCAGCAGTTAACTGAAAGGTTGGAAGTTCAAGTCCATGCAGAAGCCACCTTCACATAAAGGTCTAAAAAACGAGTCACTGAAACCCAGTGGAGCCTAGTTCTACTCTGACGCTTGTGGGGCTGCCATGAGAGGGGGCTGACTCATCAAAAGCTAGTCACTGTAATATATCTGTAACTGCATCTGTTCTTAGTCCCAATGCTGAGACAGATTTTCCTCATGTTACACCCAAGTCTTAAAGAAAAAGCATCTAATGACGTTCTCTTTGGAGCCGAAAGTACATTCTCTCATGGACTGATGATAAATGACAGAAAAAGGAGACTTGTGACAGTGACCACTCGACCCAGAGAAACTGTATCCTTGGCTGAGGAACTGTATCCTTGGCTGGGGAACTGTATCCTTGCTCAGGAGAGGGTAGCAGTTCCACAGCTGGGTGGTAGCCCAGCTCCTTTAACAGTTCTGGAATGTGGTCTCAGAATATCAGGTGGAATCTGTGTATGGTCAGCCCTTCCCTGCCCAGGTGTGTTCTTTCAAAGCTGTGACGGTGGCAGCTCTTACGTTCAGTTGGCGCATCTTGTCATCAGCGTCGCTCTCTGAGAAGTGCTCTACATTGGTCAGCTGCAAGTCCATCTCGGTGAGCCACACTAGGATGCTCTCCCTGGTCCCCTCAAATTCCTCCCTCTGGTTCGTGAAATGCTGTGAAAGGGGGGAAAAATATATACATGTTGTTGTCACAGTGGAATGGGAGTGTAGGCAGAATGCAAGGTCACTGGAGTCTGAAAGGAGAAGCTGCCCAGGTACTGGAAGAGAAATTGGTCTGGGCCAGCCCCAAGAGGCCTGCAAAACGCAGAGGGCATCCAGGGGGCAGACATCCAATACCTCACTAATTTCTCTGCATCTCAGCTACTTAACCAGCAAATGAAGGAAGGTGACCAGATGACCACGCTGAGGTCTGTATGACACTGGAAACACTATAGTTCCCTAGTCTAAAGTGGACTATGTTGGGATCCCCCTCCCAAAGTTACAGATTCTTATTTTAAATCTGAATATTTATTATATTTTTATTCATTGTTGCACATTTTCTTCCCCCTGCACTATGTTTTTTGGTGACAAACTTAAAAAAAAATAGTATTTCACTGTTGTTTTTGCTTAAAGTTTAGAAAGCAAATTAGGTTTCAAGCCAATCATTTCAACACCGTGAATGGTGACCTTTCCCACATTGTGTTAGCTGTTACTTCTGTTCTTTTTCTTCTATTTATCTAGCTTTCCTGACCTTAACCCTCTTTCTGCTCATTTCTGCTTTAGGGTAAATGCAGACCATCTGGTCAATTCCAGTTTTTGTTTGTTTTTTTTAAAATACAGGACCACTAAAATGAGTGATTTTTTTTAACTCTCTTCTTTGAGGAATTTCTTTGGGTTCTAAGGTAGGCCCTCTGGTCTGTTTTTAGCCATTAGTCTTTTTGCAGGAGGTTTTGCTAGGCAGAAGCACTCAGTAGCTTCCAGTTGGAAAAAGTCTGATCTCAGGGCTGAGCTCGGTCTAGTGCTGCACTGGCCTCCATTGGCGTAATTCTGATGTATGTCCTCTAAGAACGATGACCTGAGGAGAGGACACGTCACCTCCACTGAAGGGTGCCTTCCTCTCAGGGGGGTGCCTCCTTCTCCGGTCACTGCTTCCCAGTGATTCTCAGACAAATGGAGCATTCTGGGCCAGGGGGAAGTTTTGGACAGTAACAGCTAAGCAGCAGAGAAAGAAATTAATGAAGGAGATTGTCTGGATTATTTAAAAAGCCAGTCAATATCTCCTTGAAAGAGGTTTGGGTTAAAAAAAATCCAGAAAGCCAGGTTCTTATCTTCCTATCTTGGCTTCAAGAACATTCTGCCCTAAGCAGACAACAGAGCCAGGACTTCAGATGAATTCCTGCAGCTCCTACCTGCACCAGTGCTGTCAGCTCACCTAGACTCACAAAAGGCTTACACACATGCCTTCTAACTACAGAATGTGGCGGTGACTACTTAGAAGCCACATCCTACCTCTGAGGCTACCTGGTATGCTCTAAAGTTCGAGGCCACTGTCTCCAAATGCTACAAAGCAGAGGGGCTACTGTGCTCTAGCCAGGCTGCTCCCAGTGCACGAAGCAACAGGTCACACGGCAACAGAGCAAGACTCTCCCTGAAGGCTCATATGACCCCTCCACTCCCTCAGACTAGGAAAGAAAGATCCCCAAGTTTCCATAGCCGTCTATGTGTTAATGTACATGCCCTCTGAGGTTCTAGAAGCTTTAAAAGGGACTTGTTTTGGTCAACACATCCCCAAAACAGGTTCTGTCTAAAAAGCTCCAGTGCAAATCCTTCTTTAGGAAAGATCAAATTCAGACTTGAGAAGGTGGGATAAAGTAGGCATAGATCATTGGTAATTGATTTTATAAAACACCATGTATATAAATGATTATATGAAGCACAATGTGAGTTGAAGGAATGTGTGGGGCACAACGTATATCAATGAAACACAATGTATTTGGATCATATATGTAAATGAGTATGGGGGGAAAAATAAATTTGCAGAAACCCAAAAAGCAAAAACAAAACCAACCAAAAAAAAAAAACCCAAACCACCGAAACACCAACCCTAAAACACTGGGCTTAAAAAATAAAAAAAGGGAAGACAGTGCTGGGAAATTGCGGAGAAGCAAGCTTAGGCCTCCAGGACCCCTTCTACCCACTGCTCTGTCTCACTGGCCCTGAGCATCGAGATAGACAGGTGCTGGGGTTGGCACTCACTCGGAGTCTCCGCAGCACGGCCGTCACCCGCTTCTGCAGGTTGTCCCAGCGCTGGTTGCCCTCATGGACCATCTGCTTCAGTTTGCTGGCCGTGTCGGTGCGGTTCTCCCGGGCCAGCCGCCGGTACTGCTTGTTGATGAGCTCCAGCTGAGTGAGCCGCTCGTGGATCTGTCGCTGAAACGCCTGCGGCAGAGAGAATGTCCCCTTCAGCTCCCTTCACGGCTTCCTCTGGCCACTTCCTATCTTAGCAAATCAAATCTAATCCCTCTACCCTTCCACTCAGACGTCCATTCATTCCTTAAATACACAAGTATTCCACACCAAACACTATTCTTTGTTGACCTATTTTTTGACAGGGGGCTTTTCCGGAGCAGCAGCACAGTTCCAGACACCCCATCCTGACCCTCCAAAGAATCTGTCTGGAGGGGTTAATCCCCAAACAAAAACGGCATCTCAGAGTTTACCAGTTCTTCTCAGGCTAGTGGAAATAACAGACTTTCTATACTCAAAATCCTGAAACAGCTATTGGGTAAAGCATGGATGCATCTTGAAAACATGTCAAATGTAACTGTCAAGTTATAAAAGGTCAAATACTGCATGGCTCCGTTTACATGAAATGGGAAAATATATATAGATCAAAGCCTATTAGTGGTTACCAGGGAGGGAAAGAAGGGGACAAAGGAAAGGGGAAGTCAGTGCTTAAACAAACAAACAAAATCGCTGCCACTGGGCCTCCAACTTATAATGACCCTCCATTGGGTTTCAAGGTCATGTATCTTTGTGGAAGAAGACTGTTTATCTTGTGCAACACCTGATGGATCCAACCCCTAGAGATGTGAAACTAGCAGCGAAACTCTGTACTGACTACCCCACGTGATGAATTTTTTTACTGGTGGAATCATTTAGAAAAGAATAGATAGAGGTGATAGCTGTTCATCAACATGATGAATATTAGCAACGTCTTCCAATCACTGCACTGGCAAAGGTTTTGTTATATATTTACAATAAAAACAAAATGAAAAGACAAAAAAAGAAAAGGACAAGGTTTGTAAGTTCACTGCACAGCAGCTGGTGGCCAGTTGCACCATGCAGCCCAGGGAAGCGGTGGGGGACGCCGGCCACTGAGCTCACACCTCCTGAGCCTTTGCACCTCCACCGAGTCATCGAGAGTGCTGGCACAGAAAGGGTTTTACCTCAAACCTCTTCAGTTCTTCTTTGGCATTTGTGTACAGCACCTCTGAGGAGTTGGGGTAGGCTGCCGTCCTCTCTGCGGACTTTAGCCAGTCCTCAAAGCGGGAATAATCATCTAAAAACTTCTGCCACAGCCGCCAGGTCTCTTCAATCCTGAGGGAAGGAAAGCAACTTAATACACACCATCCACATCAAACCTGTGCTTTCAGATTTCCTTCTTTTTCTTTGCAGGGCTCATTACTGTCTCTAGGCAGCACCTGTACTGTTTAGGAGAGAGACCTTGATACCCTCTTTTAGGAAGTAACCACGGACATCATTTCTTTGTTCAGTATACATTCCATCTGGGACTACCTAGTCTTTCAGTGCTCATGCCTCAGGAGATAGCTGTTAGAGCAACTGGTCACAGTTATACTGAGACACAAAGGGAATAGTCTGATGATACTTTTCTTGCATTATTCCTTTAACAAGCACCGGCCACACTGCTGACCCTCTTTGCCAAAACCTGGACCAATTCAAAATGACACAACCTCAACGTGTTACTTTCATAATATTTAGGTCAGAAGAGTGCATGAAGTCTGGCATGGAGACCTTGCTGAACAAGCTTAAGACATTTAGGAGCCTGCTGTCCTTACTTCATTCGCCGCTCCATTGACATGGCACAGATGTTCCTCCAGCGCCGGTCTAGGCTCCTGGTGGTCTGCTGTATGGAGTCACACTCGGTCTCATTGGCACAGGCGTCGGAGTCGTGCAACAGGACATCACAGATGTTAAACACTGACTCCACCCCTGCACTGTGCTGTTCAATATCTCGCTGCAGGTCCTAAGATTACAACAGAGTGAGACACACTGAGAGGCAGTGGTAACTGAGTTGGCATCAGCGGGCCTCCACTTTCTTCCTCCCTCCCTCATGCCCATGGGTACAGTCTTGGGTGCATTTTCCACTTTGGAACTGGAACACAGACCAAATTCCCTTCATATTTGTGAAACTCTTGTGCTGTAGTACTTGGCAAAGAGCCTAAAAGGCAGTGACAAGTGGGCTTTGTTACAATGACTCGATGTGTATCTGAGTCCTCTATGCAATGAAGGTGGCACTGACAAATTGAGAGCTCGCAGTTCCTAAACTTTGGGCTCCTCGTACCACGCAGCATGAACTCCTCCAATTTAAATTCAGGGAGGTCTTACGTGGAAAATGGGCTCAGGCTCTTCAGTAGGGCCTAAACTTGAGCAATAAAAGCTCTTGGTCTCTCAGAGGTCATGGAACTCTTGAATCTGAGCTTTGTGTTGTGTTCACACACATTAGACCAGGCAGCTAGCTGCACGGGGTCCAGTCTCCCAATGAGCCCATCGTAGAGGCTCATATAAACAGGTCTAGCCAAAGCTGTGACTTGGCAGTGGGTGGGTGGGTCAGGAGTGTTGTCTTGTGAGAGAGATAGTGATGCAGTTCCAAACTGGGAAAAAGAAGATTCATGAAGAGAAAACACACGACTAGAAGAGAAATGGAAAACTCATTTAAGACTAAACATGGCATTTTCACTTACCACCCAGACACTATCTCTTCTTTATGCCATGAGTGAGAGGATGAGATGTTTGGTTTGCAGTTCTAGATGGATTAGGCATTGCCTGATATCCAAATTCTGTGACAAGTGACCTCAGACAATACTATTAATCTTAGCATCTACATTACATTGTGAAATAGCAAAAATAAACTTACGTTCTGAAATCCTTAAAATAAAAACAACAACCCACTTTTACCTATGCTCAGTAAAGTGTCTAGACGTCAATACACTTCTGTTTATAGGAATTATTTTATACAATGTCTACCAGAGCCTACACAAAGTTCGTTCCAGACCACCTAGATATTCAAACAATTTTGGAGATAATTAATGTATTACAAGAATGATAATACATTACCTTTTTTTCTGATAAAATAGGCAATATGGATCATGGATAGAAAAGGATAAAATATTAATGTGGGAGTCTAATTTAAGATCAGGAAGTTCTTAACAAAGATTTAAACTATGAAAAGCAAAGACCACAAAGTCAAACTTGGATGTGTTTTCAGTTTGTCACTGTGTACCTGTCTGGAGAGCTGTGAGTATGTAGTTTTTTTACAAGCTCTGCAGTTTAGGACGCACACCTGTGACGCTGCCACGGGGGAGGTTTTCCTGGAGATAATTAGTTTTGAAATAAAATTCTAGTTTTAAGTATTCTCTCCGGTAAACAGAATGGTCACAGGCTTTTCTAGAATTGACTGGTATTGAGAAATGTACCTTTCACTTTTATAAAAATAAAGAAACAACCCTAGCATTGGGCTTGTCAAGTGTAATTGAATAACAGTGCCTGACCATGGCCTCCAGGTGGGAAGAACCTAGGTGAAAAGCATTGAGAAAGTCTAGCCTATGGATAAACCTGGATGTCACCCATTTAATTATACTTAAAGTTACTCTACATTATTTATTCAGCTTTTAATGACTAACAGCTAAAGAAAAGTGATTAAAATACATGGCCAATTGTAGCAAGAAATAAGTTCTGCAGTTCTCCTAAAAGAGCAACATTATCATTTTGGTTAAAGCAAAATTCATTTTCAACATTTCCAAATATGTTTTTAAAACACCACAGAGTAGAATGTCATACTGATGTTTATATGATCTAGTTACCTTGAAAAACAAAAGACCTTATTTCAGAAAATCAAACATTTAAGAGCTAGACAAATAACACTATGCAAACTAAAATAACATTATCAGTTTCTATTGAGGCATGAGTTTGCATAACTGTTTCCACAGAATTGTTCAAATCCACAGGACTAAATTTAAGAAAGAACATACAAAGCAAGCAATGCAAAAGACTTTTGCCAGCGGTTCCAGCAGTTGATGGAGTTTTGCTTTTCCATCCCTGAGCAGGTTAAGCAAAGCACTGAAGCTGAGAAAGCGAGAAGTAAGGGGTTAGCAGTGCAAGAACATGTGAGACATGAAGCTGGAGAAGGGAACGCAGTCAGGATGAGGATAAATAAGGAATAAAGGGGGGTAGTATGTAGGAGCAAACCAGGCCAAGAGGGTAGAAAACCACACGAGCCACTCCTGGAGGCTCCAGAACATCGCCATGGGAGGAGGAGGAGGCGGCTTGGGGTAACATGCAAGTTGGATGGGGTGGTTCTGAGAGTAATTCTAAAGGCTTAGAATAGAGTTAATTTGAGTGGGCTACTGGTATAATAATTATAGAATGCAGGAACGGCATCCTGCAGGGAAACTGGAATCCAATAAAAACTAGGAGAGAAATACTAAAGACCCAGTAAACGTGGATTATGATTTAAGAGTCACTAAGGTTGGTACAACTTTGAGTTTGAAAAGGATACATTCCACATAAATAAAATATACTCTTCATTATGTAAAAGATGTCTGTATAAAAGTAAGAGAAATAAAAAGGACTCATATAAGGTTATTCAGTATCCTAATCTCTCTCCTTTGGGCTTCAGGGACAAGAACATCACAGCTATGAATCACTTTTAGGAACTGAATTCTACTGTGGAAAGTCAAACATAGTGTCAGGGATGAAAGTACAGGTAAAATGTTTTGGTTTTTCTGGCAAACGACCTACAGGTAATTTTTTGTGTGCGCTACATTTCTGGTTTCAGTATTTGGGATAGATTAATATCTGGGTTTAGCACAATATGTTGTCTTTTATTGTAAGAAAAAGATTTAAGTAAGTCTAAACTTTGTTAAAATAATTTCCTCATGTCATCCAGGAGAGTTGGAATGAAGTTTTCCTCCAAACCTATACGTCCTAATTATTTGTGGATAGATTACCCACATGGCAAAGAGAATTAAGGTTGCCAATCAGCTAACCGTAAAATAGGAGATTACGCTAGATTATCTGAGTAGGTACAGTGTGATTATTAGCCCCAAACTAGGCCCACTGCTAACAAGTCATATCTGCCTTCTGTTGACCCTGAAGGACAGGGAGGAATTGTCTCAGGAGGTTTCCAAGGTCACAGTTGGCTTTTAAGGAATGGATGGTGGAGCACTTCACCACAGTGCAACCAGGCTTCCTAATGTAATCACTCAAAAAACCTCTCCAACTCACTGGTATTGAGTCCGAATTGACTCAGGGTTGAAGAGACTGCCCGTCTCTGGAGGAACCACTGGTGGATTTGAACTACCAGAGGTACCCTCTTTTGGTTTAGCAGAGCGACCCCTCAGGGTTCTCTAAATGCAATCACAGGGCTCCTTATAAGTAGGAGGCCACCAGAGAAAAGTTAGAGGAAGATGTCACTACTGCAGGAAGCCACGGGCAGACGAACAACTAACTGCTAGATGGTGGAAGGAGGTAAAAAGTGAACGAATGTGGGTCGGCTCTACAAGCTGGAAAAGGCAAGGAAACGATTCTCCCCTAGAGGTTCCCAAAATGAGTGCAGCTCGGCTGACCCCTGATTCTAGGCAGTGAGACCTGTGCCAGACTACTGACCTCTAGCACCACAAGATAACACATTTGTGTTGTTTGAGCTGCTAAACATACAGCAAATTTGTTATAACAATAACAGAACATGAACCTAACATCTAACTTCTTTACAGTAACGGTAGTATCTGTATCTATGTGTAACTCTCTGGTGGGTTTTCAGAGGCAGATAATCACACTGGAAGAGACTGCTCTTCTGCGGAGCAGCTGGTGGCTCAAACCACGTGCCTTTGGGATTGTGGAACAGCTTCTTGCCACTAGACCACCAGCGCACATTCTCTCCCCCCGCCTCTCTCTATTTATACCTATATATACACACATCAAGGAATATAAATTCCATGATGGTGATTATAAAGATGGAATTTACAAATCAGCTAGATTAAAAGTATGAACAAGGTCAAGAGCACAAGAGCTGCTTAAGCTGTATATTTCTGAGAGTAAGCTCTGAATGTTAATGGTTTATGAAGAGTTAACACACGGTTGCTAGCCCTTGCCAAATTTAGCCAGCTATTCTTTAAGAAAAACATTGCCAGCTTTCATTCTATTAATCTGGAAAAAGTTAGCATTCATATGCAAGATTCTATTAAAATATGGCTCTATAAAACAGAAATTCATCTTAGAGGTAGTGAACTTGATAAATAAAACCAATGGTGTAGCCATAACTTCATAAGAAGCGTATTAGAATCCCTACCATGTGTATAAAAATTCCATGATACGTATATCAATATGCTATTTTCCCCAGCAAAGCTGAGACAAAATTAGATTATCTCAGGAAAAAAGACATATTCAAGTTTCTAAGATTGAATAGAAAAACCTACGTTTTTAATTTGCAGCATTAATAAAGCACACGAGCTTGAAAACAGTAGACTAAATATCACTGAAATAGTAACTATAATTGTAGTAAAAACAGCTTATAATGTAAAATATGTAGCCTTTCAGTTTGGCAGCATAAAATGCCACTTGATACCATTAAGTGGAATGACCTGAACTCAAGATAATGTGTCATTAAGGCATGGCCTCTGGCATTGCATCTGGTGACAAAAGCTCGGTCCCCACCTCTAAGCAGGTGTACTTACGCAGACATGGATGCCTCGCATATACAAAACATGGACAAGTGATTAGTGTTTTGTGTTGTGAGGTTTTTTTAAAGGAAAAAGCCACCCAATATTAAGATAGGTCAACATGCAAAAGCACAGCCAGTAAAGGGGGGTTTGAGCCAGTTGACGTTGTAGATGATGCCACTCTTAAAAAAGCTCAATCTGGGTGAATTCTCCCACATCACTGAGGATAGGGACACAACAAGGCTTTGTGGAGGATGAACGTGGTGGAGTTTTAACACCAAAAAGAAAGAGGCTAAGAATTTGATGACAGAGAAAAACAGAGAAGTAAAGAAAGGTTAAGGCGCGTGTGTATTTGGGTTTGTTTGTTTTTTTAAAAAAAAAAACAAAACCAAACCAAAGACAAACTCGGGCAATTCAAGTCAGAAGAGGGGACGTGAGCACAAGTCTATGGAGGGCAGGTAGCTCAGACCAAAGATATCCACCAGGTTCGTGCAGTGACAGACACTGGCACATGTGAGGCTTTCCAAACTCAGGAAATTCCAGGGTTGGCTAGCAGTGTGTTATGTGATGAGGAAAATGCACAGAGCATTGCAGGCATGACATCCTAAGCCATTGACCCAAGTGTATTACTCACTATTCTAACAGACACATAAAGTACTATCCCATGAAAACCTTCCCTGGTGAGAAGACAAAAACCACAATCCAATCCACTGCTGTTGAGTTGATCCTCGACTCAGTGACTCCTTAGGACAGAACGACTGCCCCATAGAATTTCCAAGGCTGTTACTCTCTGTTTACAGATAGAGACTCACAATTTTCTCTAGTGCAGTAGCTTTCAGCAGAGAGCACTAGATCTCCTGCTGGTGAGGAAAAGGATCTTTCTCTCTCAATTTACCACCTTTCCAAATGACATTAACAAAAATCAAATGAAGATCAAGGTTCAGGGCTGTCATCTTAAATATTGTGAAAACGTTCTCCAAAAAGTGATGGAAGTGGTGGTAGTGGTGTACTTCCGCAGACACGGATGCCTCGCACATACAAAACATGGACAAGTGATTAGTGTGTTGTGTTGTGGGTTTTTTTTTAAAGGAAAAAGCCACCCAATATTAAGATAGTCAACATGCAAAAGCACAGCCAGTAAAGGGGAGGGTTTGAGCCAGCTGACGCAGATGTTGCCACTCTTACAAAAGCTCATTTCTCAATTCCCACCTGCTGTTCAGCAAGCCTCTTCTGGATTTCTTGATCATCACAGACGTCATAAACAACAGGCTTAGAAAGCTCAGACTCAATTCGAGCCAACCAGGTGCGAAGGTTGCTCATGTTTTTGTCTAACTGCTGAATAAATGCAAAGGTCTCCTTCAGCTTCTTCACCCTAAACATATTTGTAGGGGGGGGAAAAAAGGTGGGAAACAAAAGCCCAATATTTAGTGGTGAGAAGACCGTGGTAATAAGGGTGTTTGGAGGGTGAAGAGGGACCTATCCTGGGTCTCGTAGAGATTTTATAGCAGGAAAGAGTCTTACATCTCCAGATATCACTTTCCATGGACTATGTGACACTTGGAAAAAGTGCTGTTTTCATTCCTTTTCAAATGGGCTGAGTTAATTCACTCATGAAACACTGAAGTCCTATCACAGAGTGGGACAGCCTGAAACCCGATCCAACTCATGGTGACCTCATACTCAGTGGAACACAATGTTGTCAGTCCTATGTCATCCCCGTGACTGGCTGTGGAACAGACCACCATCATCCATTGGCTAATTTCTGGAAGTAGACTGTCAAGCTCTTCTTCCTAGTCTGGAAATTCCACTGAAATCTGTTCAGCATCACAAGAACAAGCAATTCTCCACTGAAAGGAGGGGCGTGGATGGGTATGAGGTACACTGGCTGGGTGGGAACAGATCTTGGGTCTCCCACCTGGAAAGGGAGAATTCAACCTCTGAACTACTATAGCACACCATCCTCATCCAATGAACTGAGAAGTCCACTTTTTTTAAAGTTAAAATAGCCAATCTTGAGCTCTTCCCAGTTCCTGCTGGGACATGGCTGGGCCTGCAGTAGTCAGCGATCTCTGATCATCGAAGATGTTACTGGGTGATACTGGGCTCATGGTGACTCTCAAAGGACCCTCCTCTTGGATGAAGTACAGATATGTTAAATACGCCTTCCTCCAATCAGACAAGGTGGAAGGTGTTCTACGCATAGAACCAACAGCCATGGACACCTTATGGGGCAACAGCACCAGCTGAAAAGGAAACAAGGGAGGGGGGGAAAGACGATCTGCCCAAAAAAGCAGTTCTAACTGCCATCTCCCTCACCGATCTACCTTAGTTCTCATCCAGCCAGAACAGCCAGAATAAGTGCAGAGCGTATCTGAAATGGCACACCTGGTACAGTGGGGTGATCACTAACTTATCAAATCACTGTCAAAGGGAATGTATGGCTACTGTGAGAAGACCACTGTTGCCTTATAGATAGTGAAATAAAATGCTCCAATAAAGGGATTCACGAAAGTCCTAAACCACAGTGAGGGCGATCTACAGGCCTTTCTGTTCACCCCAGATTTTGAAGGAATGGCTCCAGGTCAAAGTCCCCACTTATCAATACTCTCTTCGAACTGCGTTCCATGGCTGATACCTCTAGGAAGGCACACAGGGGGCAATGATTCCAACTCACAGGAAATGCACTGGATTTCATGTCACCATCAGCTTACTTGGCTTCCTGTGGACAGCTGTCTACTGGCCTCCTTGAACTCTGTCCACTTTTGGTTGTGTATGTTCTAAAAGACCCATCTGTTCCATGATCCAAAGTTCCCAACAGTTCTCCCCTACCCTGATGTCAACCTGCTGAATCTTCTTGTTCCTCACGTTCAGTGGCCTCTGTGCCCTTGACATGGGGTCTGCAAAGCTGCTCCTCTCCTCTGTCCCAGAACCTCCACCTCCTGCTCCCGAGATAAGCTGGCAGCTCCTCCGTGGGCTCCCACAGCACCAGGTGAGCCAGTGCTGTGCCCGCCTGTACATGAATCTGTGTCTCAGAGACTGTGGCCAGGCTTGTTTCCTCTGTGGTCACAGCACCTCCTACACTGTCTGCTGGGCAAGCAGTGTCCACCAGTGTGTGAGGAGGAGGTATGTTTGCAACAGTTCTACTACCACATACTATTATCTAACAGATGCCATGGTTTTTTACCAAAACCCCAAAATCTGTAGTTTTCAAGTTGATGCCAACACAACTCACAGTGACCCTCCGTGGCATTTCCAAAGTAGTAAATCGTTATAGCCTTGGGAGGAGACTGCCTCTCTTTCTCATGTAGAGCTGGTGAATTTGAACCTCCAGTTAGCTGTCTGACATGTTACACAGTATGCCCCAAGGCACAAACCTCAATCAACCAGGAGAACCCACACTGCTGGTTTTATTCAACAACTTAGAAACCCAATTCATTACCACTGAGTCAGAACCAACCCATAGCAGACTTTTCTGTGGGTTTTCAGAGGCTATAAATTGCACATGAAAAGACTGTTCATCTTTCTGGGTTTTCAGAGGCTATAAATTGCACATGAAAAGACTGTTCATCTTTCTGCTTCGGAGCTGTTGGTAGATTTGAACCTCTAGTGAGGCACTTCTGTGTTAGCGGCACAACTCCCCAGAGGCTCCTTTGTTGGTTTCATTTTATATATACATAGTCGGTCTCAAAGGCCCCTCAAGTTTCAGGCAGGTGGTGGCAGTGTACTGGAGAGGTGGAGGCCACAACTATTCCACCATCTGGGCACTTGCATGGCAAGCACCTAACGACCCTAACTCCCACTTTCCTGATTAGCAATAAAAGGATCTATTTCGGAGGTAGCTATGAGAACTAAGTAAGAGCACATACGTAAAGACATTGGCACACAGCAAGGGGTCAATACCACGAGCTCCTAACAGGAAGACTGCGACTACGTGGTGTTTTGGTAACATCTTACTCATATGACCTTCACAAAGCCCTTTCACATTAAATGATATTAGGTTCACTTTATTCTCAGCAGCCCCATGAAGGAGGAGGCCTGGAAAGGAAGCTGTGTAGTCTAGTGGTAAAGAGCTCAGAGTGTATGGTCTGGAGCTCGGCTTGAATCCTGGCTGCGTCATATCATCTGTAAAGTGATGCTCACAATACTACCTTTCTTCTCAAGGTGGTTGACAGAGTTGAAGAGAATATAAACATAGGTAAGGCAAATGATACAATCACAGTGACCATGACAATGATCAAAGATTTCCAGATTAAAGTCTTACTGTAAAATCTTTAGAAGCTCTCTTCAAAGCTACAAAAAGACTCATTAAAAAAGTAGCAGCAGAGTTTCGGGCGAGGACTGGGTGTAGAAAAACCTAGACCCTGCCTATGTTTCCATGACTTTATAGGTACACCCTCCTGCCCCAATGTCACGCTACCTTGACTACAAGGAACCAGGAAAAACACTCCAGACCACTGCCAGCACAGCCAGGAACCCCAGGCACCATGGGCCCTGGAGTCTTCTGAGAAGCTCCCAGTGGCTGCCCTCCTGGGAGGCTCTGGCTGTAGAGAAAGCCAGGCAGGAGAGGTTCCTATAAGAAGTGCTTAAGCTCAGTTACTTCCCCCTAGCAACCGACCCCCATCCCTTCTCAGCATGACTGCCCCAAGTCTGAGCCCATCCAACCAGCAAACTCCCAGGCTCTTTCTTATTCTAAAAAGGGGGGTAGATTACTCATGGGGTCATACAATTTGATGGATGGGGGGAGGGTTGAGGGAAATGGGATGGATCTGGTGTGAAAAATAATGTATTTGAATTTTGTAAATAAATTGGTATAAAAATATTGTGACAGTAAAATAAAAAAAGAAATGGGCCTCAGTGCAAGGAAATAAAGCAGCTGGATATAAGAGCACAAAAGGCTGTATGTAGGGCTCTTGAATCCTGTAAATCTCAGGAGTCAGGTGTGTGAAAGGCAGAGAGGGTAGTACAGGGAAGGAAAGGTTTCCCCAGTACTATGCTAAGTCAGTGGTCTCCCTAATGGGCTGCTTTGGGTATGGGAAAAGTAGTAGACTTCCTACTCAATTCCATTTAAAAAATTTTCTCTTCATTGGGTGTGGTTTAAAATTCATCAACTCTATTATTTCAGTAAATATCTTTATTGGATACTAACATCTCCTATGTCAGAGGACTACTGTACTTCATTTGATAACTTATTTGCTCCTCCTAAGAATGCAGCAGATTAGTATCATGATTGCCCTCATTTGACATATGAAGAAACTGAGGCACAGGATTAAACAACATGCTTATTGTTATACAGTTACTAAACTGTTGTTGTTGTTGCTATGTGCTGTTGAGTTGCTTGCGACTCATAGCCGACCCTATGTACAACAGCCCTAAACTCTGCTCTGTCCTGTGCCAATTGCACTGTCTCCAATACACCCATCCCGACTACCCTAGTCACTGAATCAATCCACCTCATAGAGGGCCTTTCTCTCCTGCGCTGTCCCTCCACCCTCCCAAGCATGATGTCCCTCTCCAAGGACGGGTCCCTTCTTACAACATGTCCAAAGCATGTCAGATGAAGCCTCAGAATCGTTGCCTCCAAGGAGCCGCCCAGTTTAACCCTCTCCAGGATGAATCTGGTTTGTTTTCCTAGCAGTCCATGGTATTCTCAATACTCTTCTCCAGCACCACAGCTCAAAGGCAACAATTCTCCTTCTATCCTCCCTAGTCATTGTCCAACTCTGATGCATAACAAATGATTGCAAAGACCATGGCCTGTATCAGATGCACCTTAGTCTCCAGAGACACCATTGCTTTTCAGAACCTTGGAGAGGTCTCTAACAGCAGACTTTCCCATCGTAATACATCTTTTAATTTCCTGGCTACTGGTGCCAAGAGTGTTGTCTGTGGAGCCAAGCAAACTAAAGCTGTGAAACAATCTCAATCTCTTCACCATGCATCCTGATGCTGCCAATTGGTCCAGTGGTGAGAAGCTTTGTCTTCTTGACAGTGGGCCTCAATCCATATTGAAGGCTGCAGTCCTCAACCCTGTGTAGCAAGCACTTCAGGTTCTCCTTAGTTACTAAATTGCATAGAGATTTATGTCTCTACGCGTCATCTGGCGTGAGGCTGTGCCCTCAAATGTTAACCTGGAGGACTTTACTTTAAATGCACACTTAAACATAATAACATGCTCCAGCAGGTTACAGGGCCAGTCAGGGGACCTGATCAGAGGCCCAGACTCATGGTTATAGGCGCAGCCCCTATGCCATGTGGTGCTTTTGTGGGCTTTTAGTCCAGAGACAAATGGATACCAGAAAGCTCAGCCATAGTGTCAAATGTTTTCTCTATGTAGTTTTCTTTCAAGCAACATTTAACCACTTGTTCTGTCCT